AAAAAAAACATGTAGAATTCTTCGCAAATTGGGATATGTCAAGAAATCTCCTAGGAAAACTTCTCTCAGTAAAGCAAATGTTTCAAAGCGCCAAATTTGGGTCAATAAATACATGAAAATTGACTGTTCTAAAGTAATTTTCACGAACGAATATCAGGTGACACTCGAAGGGGTTGATGGATGGGCAAAAGGATGGCTTTTATCCAATGCAGATGTGTCTGTGGTTAAAAGATGGTAAAAAGGAGGCGATAGTCTCACGGTATTGGCGGGAATTGTCGACCAAACCATTATTAGATCTCATTAAAAGTCGATGAAGGCGTTAAAACTGAACAGTGCTAACTATTGCGATTTCATAGACAAGACGTTCTTTAAATGATACAGATCCCACTTTCAAAGTCAAGTGTGAATTTATGCAAGAAATCATATATCTAAAGTTAACCGTGAATTTAATAAGTATAAAAATTTTCAGGAGAGAAATAGAAAAAATCATACATATTTTCGCGTTGATGAAAAACATTCAAGTTTTGTGATGAAACCCAACGTTACCGAGTAAGTCACTACAAATATTTCCAATAAAATCATTATATGATGAACGTCTGATATATCAATCATATGAATATCCGGAAAATTTACCAAAATCGGTAGGTTTCTGCCACTTTTATTGTGCAAATATTGAAACGCATAATAAAATCTGACATAATGTCGATGCTGTAAATCTTGTGGATGTTTGGCACATGGAACATTGTTTGAAGATCTTCAAGTAAAATTGCATTCCCATAATTGTCTATGAGTTGGCGTAGAGAAAGACGATTTCAACCAGCAGAAATGAAAGGAAATTCAAAATGACGCTTTGTCGCATTTGTTTATTGGCCGCAAACAAAGATAAAATTCACGAGCATCAGCGTAGATAAAAACAAAACCCAAAAAACTATTGGCCATTCCTCTGTAACATTATTCTTGTCTGATTTAACTCTTTTTCTCTTTTATGCGTTCTTTCGTGTTTTTTTTTCTGTTCTTCTTTTGGTGACATCAAATCGTTTTTACTTTCAGTTTTATGCATTCTTCAGTGTTGTTCGTCTTCTTTGTGCGCAAGTTTTAATGCTAAACAGTTTTATAGTCTTTCTTTCTTTTTTGTTTCTTTATCTTACCAACCCTTTCTGTTGCGGCTTGAAACGTTTCTTTCTTTCTAACTTTGGGTTTTTCATTTCTTTATCGTTGAGATCTTTGTTTTCTTCTGATTCAAGTCTTTCTTGCTATTCTTTTTTAATTCCTTTATTCTTACTGCTTTTATCTAAGCCTTTCTTTTGCTGCAAAACATTCTTTCTTTCTTTCTTTTCCAATTCATTTGTTCTTTCTTTCTTTTTCAATTCCTTGGTTCTTACTGCTTTACCTAAACCTTTCATATTTTCCAAGATTTTCAGAACATTGATACATTCTTTCTTTCTTTTCCAATTCCTTTGTTCTTTTTTTCTTTGTGCTTTCTTTTTATTTCTTTATGGTGGAAATCTTTGTTTGTTATTGCTGTAAGCCTTTCTTTCTTTCTTTCTTTCTTTCTTTCTTTCTTTTTTCTTTCTTTCTTTCTTTTCCAATTCATTTGTTCTTTCTTTCTATGAGCATATGTTTCTTTATGATTGAAACCCTTGTTTATTATTGCTGTAAGTCTGTCTTTCTTTCTTTCTTTCTTTCTTTCTTTCTTTCTTTCTTTCTTTCTTTCTTTTCCAATTCCTTTGTTCTTTCTTTTTATGAGCATTTCTTTCTTTATGGTTGAAATCCTTGTTTTTATCTTTCTTTCTTTCTTTCTTTCTTTCTTTCTTTCTTTCTTTCTTTCTTTCTTTCTTTTCCAAGACATTCTTTTCCTACGGCTTTATCTGCACCATTTTATTTTCATTTCTGTCCTCTCTTTTCTTGACAAAGGCGCTTTTCCAGATTCAATAATAATTTTTCTCCTCACCCACTCCATCCTCATCGCACACCTTTCTTGCCACTTTACGATAAACGGCATTAGGTATTTGTGCCCAGTCTTATTTCATTCGCTGCATCTGTAACCACACAACAAGTATGACGCCATGAAACGTAATGTTGTGTGACAGAAGGAAGGAAGCGTGTAAGGAAAGAATGAATCATTGACGATCACTCGACTGGTTTTCTTAGTCAAGTGGATAAGTATCCATGAATAGGGGTTGGGAAACATCGAGCTAAGCACAGTGATCGGCTTTAGGAAAACGGAAAAAGTAACAACAGAGAGAGAGAGAGAGAGAGAGAGAGAGAGAGGAGAATTGTGTGTGTGTGTGAGAGAGAGGGAATAGAAACGAAAGAGGTGTATAGATATATGTGGTGAACTCAAGCGGATAATAGCAAATAAAGCCTGACAATGAAAGGAAGAAAAGTCGCTACTATTTTACCGACTGAGCAGGCAAACGAGATAAATAGGACGAAATGACAGTCTGATAGATAGCCAGGCAGATATACAGAACAACTTCCGACCTTTTAGAATCTGTTCATTACGAGTGTAGTAATAGATATTAACAAAAGGAAAAATTGTTTCGATAATTTGTAACGACGTGATTCGCACATATGAGATCGACTAATAAAACCACAAGGGATAATGGTTAGTTAAGGGTTGTGATTGTTAAAAGTTCTATCTGAGAATGTACGTCATACCATACACACATACACTCATACAGGGTGCGATGGATCAATTGCCATATACATTACGAAAAAATGCAAATAACACTGACGTCTTATTTTAACAGATATATTCACTAAAATTTTTCAAACATATCTTGAAATACTAACGAGTAAATTTATTCAATAAAATCGCCATTAGCTTCAACCATAGTCTCCAATCGACTTCGGAATCTCCTGCAACTCTTTTAGGCGGTCGCTTTGTTTAAGTTGGGGAATGCTGTCATAATCCTTGCCTTCAGTTCATCTTTGATTTTGCAAAGACTTTTGTTGGTATCTCGCTTAACTGTACCCCGCACGTAAAAATCAAGAGGCTTGCAGTCTAAAAAGTTAGGTGGCTAGATGTAAGGGGAGATATAATCGCAGAAATTGTCTGACAGCCATGACCTGTTGCCAGATATAGGGTCTTCCAGCTGCCAGCCTCTTAAATCAGGGCAGTACTCCCACCTCAAAACACTGGATGTGGGCCTCCGTGTCGAGTCTGAAGTCCTCACTAACAAATTAGGGTGTTCTTTTCTTATCGGAACGATCAGAGTGAGTTTCCCGAGCTACCGTACCTTCGTAATCACCATTAGACTCATCCAACTCTTTCCGAATCCTCTGCACTGTCACCCAAATACTCTGAAATGTTCGTATTGGAGCTTCCGCTACGAATGCCAAGCAGCACAGCATACCGTTTCCAAATTTCGGGTGGAGTGTATAGCGTCATGGTGCTCTTTTTCTCACAGACAGTACCCAACTGACTCTACTATACTATAAAGACAAAGAGACTTTATGAAGGCACTTTTAAAAACTAATCCACTAATTATTTTTAAATTCCTTTCCTAAGGCCATTAGCACCTAAATGAATGTGATGAATCCGACTAGAATTTGAACTCAGCACTTCGATTCCTCAATCCGAACCGCTATCCGAACTGATATCCAATACTCCACCGTGTCTTCTCGGTATGAACCCTCTTTTTCCCTCAGCTATGAGTAAATAGCAGGACAGACTGGGTTCTATAGCCTTGGGTGGTAACCGATCTAGGAGAAGGAAAACTCTGAATTTAAAACTGTATGTAGCCCTGGCGTAGCACACACTATACAGCTAAAGAAAGGATCGTTCGCATTAGCTCAATGATCTCGACTGCGGTCGAATAATGATGATGAAATGATGATTTATAAATTAAATCTAAGCAGACAGACATTAACTTCGAAATGTTTTAAAGAGAGATGTGGATTTTTTTTTAAAAAATGGCCAATGCGTCTGGCTCCGCTGGATGCGTCTTCGTGGCTGAACTGATAAAACCAGCCACACTACACGGTACTTTCTCTTTGGTAAAAATCTTTATTTAGTCTGATAAAACTTTCGATGATTCTAGGCCGGTAGATACCAATTTTACTACCCGGAAAAAAGAAGAGGCTGAAACATGTGTCTGTGTAAACATCCCTGTAAAAAAAAACAAAACACGTAAACCTCACTAAATATAACTTTTGTGATGTCAACGAACACTCGTTGCCAGTTTTGTGATGCCAACGAATACTCGTTGTCACTTTCGTTGTAGTAGAGACTTTGTAATCGCAGATGCCACTATAGTACGGCGTTGAACAATACTGAATATCACTTGCTCGAATAGTAATCCGTATAGTGATCCGAATAGAGAAATAGTATATTGAATAGAATAGCGAAATAGTATAGACTAGAAATGATGATCCGTATAGTAATAAAGGATAGCATAGAAATAGCGATCCGATACTAATAGAAGATAGAATAGAAGTTCAGATCAATTAGAAACATGATACCTCCCATATATGCGCTTCCTCTATGGCCACGTGGTCTACTTAATTCAATAATGGGATCTATGTTCAAACTCAAGTGTCATGATATGAGGTAGATTTTTTTCACACCATTTCTTTCTGCGGTAGATCAGTTGCCTTCCAAAGCAACCCGGTCTGTCCTGCTATTTACCCATAGCTGGAGGGGGTGGAAAGAAGAGGATAATGGATTCGACTTGAATTCGAACTCGGCTCTACGATTCCTGAATCCGATCCACTATCCATTACTCCACCGTACCTCCTCAAATATAATAAATAATGATTTACTTGTAGTAATTAATCCATAGATGGGAGGGGAAAAGAAGAGATGTATAATATAACGTCCCCAAAAATATTTGCGCGTAAGTGAATATAACAACACAGGTCGGAATTGGAACTCTGCTCTCCGATTTCCAATTCGATCCATTTTCCCAGCCGGTCACCCATCTAGGTACTGACTAGGCTCAACATTGCTTAACTTCGGTAATCGTACGAGAACCGGTGTTTCAACGTGATATGGTTATAAAGCCGGATTAGTCTAACTGTATATGATCCCTATACCGCAATTAATAGTATTTCATTGAGCTTTGTCCTAGACACTATCGGTGTCTTCTGCCAATGTAAATATACGTCAATCAATTTTTAAGCAATTAATATATCTTTCATCCGATATTGTTTCCTATTAGTAAAAACGTTATTGTTATATATGTATAGAAAGATACATGATCGCCTAAACGTGTATCATGCATGACACATAACTGAGTGAAATCATTATTATCGCCTACGTATTCTTACAATCTAAAAGTAATTTCTGCTTTAAATAATATGCAAGAGATTGATAAGCCGTAAAAACAATCTATCAATCAATTAAACTAACCTGATTTATATTGTACATTTATAGTGCATCTGGTTTAGAATGGTGTTAGTTTACGTAAATATTTGAAAAAGAAGGGTATTTAATCTTTTTTAATATATCAATATCAAGGAAACATGTTATTATTTTTTCAATAATAAAATTGTTTAGCATGACAGTATCATTCATTGCAATTTTAACATTGTAAAATTAGACATAAATTTTGATGCCAATAAGTAATTCTTATAAATGGCAAGGGTCTTTCTTCAGAAAAAGAAAATATTCTTTCTATTTTCCCTTGGACATTGACAAACAAATTATTTGGTCATCGAACTCGAGCGACAGTAATATATAATTGGCCATGAAAATAGCAGGGAGGCGCGATTGTATTCCTGCTACCCTTATTGTTCGCCCCGGAGATTTGTTCATGGGCATCGCAAAACATATCCTGACAGCCAACTGCAACCTTTTGAAATCGAATCGGATATTCCTGGAAATAATTAGAATTCCTGGAATGAACGCATCCTCTAAAGCAGGTTCAATCAAATATGGCAATGTTTGACTACAAGCCTTGTGACATTTCACAGCCTTGGGGCATTCAACTTCTTAGGAAGACCAATTAGCGCTTCTTTCTTGAGCGCCTGAAGTTGCACACCAGTTGATTGCTAAGATTTTCAGTAAAAAAAATCACAGCGCAGTTTGAATCGGCACCAGTGCCAAATGTACAAGTGCTGGCGAAAATGATGGAGTTAGCACACCAAGAAGATATTTTCGTAGGTTTTTATTTATTTATCTGTAAATAAAATGAGTAACATAATTATTTTTTTATTTAATAGAAAAACACTTTTTATTTAATAGTTGAAAATTTTGGCTTCATAAAATATACCTAAGTAAAAATTAAATTATTGAAATTAACGGTTTAAATTTACTCTAAGCCAAAGGAAATATGGAATTATTCAATATTGTGAAAATAATAATGGAATTCAATATTGTGGAAATAATAATGGAATTCAATTTTGACACAAAAAATTAGAATTAATACTTATTACTTACTTCTAGAGCTTTTATGTCAGCCTTAATTCTTTATAAATTATTTTTTTGTATTTTACGAACAAAACTGCAAAAATTAAACTTTTCAGAATCGAACCAATCGTTGTTCCCATGGCAAATGTTCAGACGAGTTACTAGTTCTACCGGTTGAGGCCTTTACATCTAGGAAATGGCCGAATTATCCTCATTCCCATTATATTGCTCAGCAGGAAGTTCCACTCAGACAAGTTCTTCCCGAGGACGGCTACTTTATGGAACAGACTCTTGAGAAGATGTTTTCCCAAACACTACTATCTTATCCTCTTTAAATCTAGGGACAGCCGTTATTTATCCTACATATCCTCACAATCTGAACTTACATCCCCCTCTTACGTCCCAACAACAAACTGACTTAGTAACCCTCTACTTTGAGTGGCTCTTCGCGTTTGTACTGAGTGAGCTTTGAGAAAAAATGTTTCAGAGTTGTTTGATTTCACAATGTACTAATAAATAAATCTCAACGATTGCGTTCTCTCCCTTATTGTGATCTCTCAAAGACTGATTTCCCGGGAGAAAAATGGTTTTATTTGAATAGCCAAGAAATATCATTACGGATGTTGCAAACAAGCACATTATTTATAAAGATCACAAAAGACTAAATTAAAAATGAATAAAAAAAGTTATTTTTTAGAATTTGATTTTTAAAGCTAAATATAAAAATTAACGTTCCCAAATAAGTAAAAAAATTGACTTTTAAGTCAATTAAGTATTAGTGTTCCCCATTAGTGTTCTCAGTGTTTCCAATTTATTGTTCACAGATAAGTAAAAGCCGCTGATTTTTTAACCAATTAAGAGTTAGTCTTCCCGATTTGTGTTTGCAATGAAATAAAAACCGCTGCCTTTTAGTCAATTAAGCATTCGTGCTTCCAAATTAGTGTTACCAATTAATAAAACCCGTTGACTTTAAGAAACATGCTCGTCATAAATACTGTGGAGACAGACAACCAACTTTAAAATATAGAGATCATAAATTATAAATAATAAATAAATAATAATAATAATAACAAATAAATAATAAAAATAATAATAATAATATAATAAATAATAAGAAAGCAAGGTTAATAAAGCGGAATATAAAATGGATAGATACAAAACAAAAACATCAGAAGAAAAAAATATAATTTGGCTTAACCCAACTTACAAATCGTATTACTATATAAAACTCTGTGAACTTTGTATCTTGTGTGTTTGACAGAAGTCATATATAGAGAGTGGGGAAACGAAAAATGTAAATTTATTAACGTGTAGGAAGTGGAGATTGAGCCGATTTTCTTACGAGAAAGTGTATAAAACACACGAAATCCGGCCCCAAATAGGATACGGACAGCTGTCATCAAGGTCCACGCCACTCTCACTTCACGATCTAAGCGCTGACAAACTTCAAAGTCTGCTTCAGACTACGGTAACACCGTCCACAGTAAGGAACAAATCCTATCTCTTGTATCCTCCTTACTATGAACCACACGCACACCCGTTGACTTTTTCACACAAACACACACATAACAACATTTCATTGTTTCTTACATACGTACACAAAGAGAATTTATATTTTATTTCAGAATAACCCAAACAAAAAGACATTACTTTCCGATCTATGACCAATTGCTTTTATTCTTGTTATATTAATGTTCAATTGAAACTACGTTGTCTTTTCTACTGAATTTTATTCTTTCAATAAGAATCGTTTGGTTATTCTAAACGGTCGAATTACGCGCAGCTCCACAACAATATTTTATGTTATTGTATCGAATCTCAACACTCCGGATGTTGATATTCCAAGCTCTTATTGTTCAACTTTCTTCAAATAGGCAATTTTTTAATGTTGAAAGCAATTTCAATAACTGCAAAGAAATGTATTTTTAAAATATATCTACTTTCACAAGCTCTTCATGAAAGTAAATGTAAACATTAAACACGACAAAGCTGACCCAACGGGACACAGATGGTCTAGTATGAAATAAAAACAAAAATCGGAAAATATTCTTCAAACTAGTCGATAAAGCTTTCTTCAAACTAGTCGATAAAGCTTTCTTTAAATACTGTAAATTAAAATTTTAACCATAAAATCTACTGAATCAATTTTCTAGGTCTGTTGCTAGTGGGTTCATTGTTTTTTAGAAGTCAATTTTTCCCTGCCAGAATCTATCTTACACTTTTATAAGTCCACCATTCGTCCATGTATTGTATGTTACTATCACATCTGGTGTGGTGTTTCTGCTATGTGTTTAGAGATTCATGACAAAATTCAATCTGAAATGTTATCTGTCCTGACCTGGCATCTTGGTTTCAATCACTTTCCTACAGCTGTAATGGAACTTCGCTGTGTCGTTTCTATAAATATTTTCATAGTAATTCTTCTGATGAGCTTTCCTTTTTGGTACCTCGACTTCGCGAATTTAAGCGCAGTACTAGATTGGCAGCTAGGTCTCATCCTTTTACAGTTGAAATTGCTAGATGCAAGTGGGAGTTTTACGCTGACAGTTTCTTCTCTTGCACTTTTCGTGGAATTCTCTTCTGGTTTCTGTCTCCCCAGTAAATTTTGATCTTCAAAAACTTAACTACAATGTCAATCGTCATCTTCTGTCTCTGTTGAAACTTGACTAATGCATGGAATAATAATGCAACACAAAATGTACTTAGAACAAAATGTATTGAAACAAGAAAGTGTACACAATATTTACATATAGTCTTTTGTACATTCCTGGTAAGACCGTTCCTGGAGAATGTGTTGACTGAGTCGCAGTCGGGCAGAGTCTCTGGTTGAATCTCTTGATTCCTCCCTCTCTTCCCGGTACCAACCATATTTATATGGTCTGTACTCCACTATGCAAATTAGGTGGATCCTACCACAACACCCCACTCCCAAGCCTTGGAATCCCTTTTGGATTTCAAACTGGCTTCCTATATGGGTTGGTGATCATGGCTATTTCTTTGTAGATCCATTTGCATACTTCATATGCATATATCCATCCGCTTAATTTTAATATTTTTTCCGTTTTGGATTCACGTCCAATGGGTCCGTGAACTTTCGTTTCCTACCGGATCTTCTCGGTTCAGGAGTATTCTGCGGAGGTTTTACTTGAAACATATCATACATTACCTCAATGGGATCTTTCTCCTCATCCGGTATACTCTCTTCATGCTCTATAACGTAACATTTTTTAAGTTGATTCTGGTGCCTTTTATGAGTATTCTTCGGCCCTTTAATTATGTAAATCAGGTCACCGATTCTCTTGTCCACTATGCCTCGCTCCCAGAACTCAACGTTGCTTTTGTAGCACTTGAAAAACACCTTCTCTCCGGAGGTGTATCTTTTTCTCGCTGTATACATAGTATTCTTTACTCTATTTTTTCCTGGCAAAAGTTTGTCAAACACTGGCTTAACTTTCCCTAGCGAACATTAGTTCAGCTGGTGCCATGTTTGAGTGTGTTCTCTGGTTTGGCGTGATTCTGTATACTTGTAGGAATTGCTGAAGCGCCTTTTCCGTTGGAACTCCTGAGGCTTTCTTCAGAGCGCGCTTTAAAGTATCGACAAATCTTTCTGCGAGTCCATTGGACCTCGGATGATACGGCGGCGTC